TGTTGAGTGAGTATATTTTATTTTTATTATATATATATATATTTGTGAGATAGGGTCTTACTCTGTCACCCAGGCTAGAGTGCAATGGTGCAATCTCAGCTCACTGCAACCTCCGCCTCCTGGGTTCAAGCAATTTCCCACCTCAGCCTCCAGAGTAGCTGGAACTACAGGCATGTGCCACCATGCCCAGCTAATTTTTGTATTTTTAGTAGAGATGGGGTTTCGCCATGTTGGCCAGGCTAGTCCTGAACTTCTGACCTCAAGAGATCTGCCTGCCTCAGCCTCCCAAAGTGCTGGGATTACAGGTGTGACCCACTGCACCCAGCCTGAGTATATTTTAAAAGGTCAAAAAGGTAAGTATATTTAGTGAGATTGTACAGCCTTTAACTGAATAGTAATTAGTATTTACCTGATGAGACATTTTATGCTTGGCATGAAACAAGGAGGATATGGAAGGGGAAGGTGGCAGACAAATGTACTGTCATGAATCACTGAACACTGGGATACATGCTGAGAAACGTTTTGTTATGTGATTTCGTTGTGTGAACATCATAGAGTGTATTTACACAAGCCTTAATGGTATAGTCTACCTAGGCTACAAACCTCCATAGGTTGTTACTGAATACTGTAGGCAACTATAACACAATGCTAAGTATTTGTGGATCTAAACATAGGAAAGGTATAGTAAAAATATGGTAGAAGGGATAAACATTACACCTGTATAGGGCACTTACCACGAATGGAGCGCCCAAGACTGAAAGTTGCTCTGGGTGAGTCAGTGAGTGGTGAGTGAATATAAAGGCCTAGGACATTACTGGACACTGCTATAAACTTTACAAACACTGTACATTTAGGCTACACTAGATATATACATAAAATTTCTTTCTTCAATAATTAACCTTAGTTTACTATAACTTTTTTTTTTTTTTTTTTTTTGAGACAGGAGACAGTGTTGCTCTGTTGCCCAGGCTGGTACAGTGGCACCATCTCGGCTCACTGCAAGCTCTGCCTCCTGGGTTCACGCCATTCTCTGCCTCAGCCTCCTGAGTAGCTGGGACTACAGGCGCCCGCCACCACGCCTGGCTAATTTTTATATTTTTAGTAGAGACGGGGTTTCACCGTGTTAGCCAGGATGGTCTCAATCTCCTGACCTTGTGATCCGCCCGCCTCGACCTCCCAAAGTGCTGGGATTACAGGCCTGAGCCACCGCACCGGCCCAGTTACTATAACTTTATGAACTTCTTTTAATTTTTTTTTTTTTTACAGAGTTTCACTCTTGTTGCCCAGGCTGGAGTGCAATGGCACAATCTGGCTCTGCAACCTCTGCCTCCCAGGGTTCAAGTGATTCTCCTGCCTCAGCCTCCCAAGTAGCTAGGATTGCAGGCATGTACCACCACACCTGGCTAATTTGTATTTTTAGTAGAGACAGGGTTTCTCCATGTTGATCAGGCCAGTCATCGACTCGACCTCAGGTAGTCGCCTGCCTTAGCCTCCCTAAGTGTTGGGATTACAGGCGTGAGGCACCACCACCCAGCCTCTTACGTTTTTTCTTTTCTTTTCTTTTTTTTTTTTTTGAGACAGGGCCTTGTTCTGCTGCCCAGGCTGGAGTGCAGTGTATGATCTCGCTCACTGCAACCTCAGCCTTCCACCTCAGCCTCCCAAGTGGCTGGTATTACAGGTGCACGTGACCATGGCTGATTTTTGTATTTTGAGTAGAGACGGAGTTTTGCCATGTTGCCCAGGCTGTTCTCAAATTCCTGGGCTCAAGCAATTGCTCTGCCTCATTACCGAAAAGGCTGGGATTACAGGCGTGAGCCACTGTTCAACAACTTCTTTTTTTTTTTTTTTTTTTTAAGACTGGAGTCTCACTTGCGTCGCCCAGGCTGGAGTGCAGATCTCAAGCACTGCAGCCTCAGGCTCCCAGCTCAGGTGATTCTCACCTCAGCCTTCTGAGTTGCTGAGACACAGCTTGAGCCACCACGCCTGGCTAATATTTGTATTTTTGAGTGAGGCCAGGGTTTCACCATGTTGCCCAGGCTAGTCTCGAGTCTGACCTCAAGCAATCCGCCTGCCTGGGCATCCTAAAAGTGCTGCAATTACAGGCGCAAGCACACATGCCCGGTCAACTTCTTTTTAATTTTTTGAGTCTTTTGTAATAACTTACTTAGCTTAAAACACACATTGTACAGTTAAATATTCTTTATATCCTTGTTCTATAAAAGCATTTTCTATTTAAAAAAGGTTTTTTTTTTGAGACAGTCTAGCCAGGCTGGAGTGCAGTGGCTAATCTTGTCTGCAACCTCTGCCCCTCCTGGGTTCAAGTGATTCTCCTGCCTCAGCCTCCCAAGTAGCTAGGATTACAGGCATACACCACTACACCTGGCTAATTTCTTTGTATTTTTAGTAGAGATTTTCACCATGTTAAGTCAGGATAGTGCTTGAACTCCTGATCTCAAATGATCTGCCCTTATCGGCCTCCCAAAGTGCTGGGGATTATAGACAGCCACCATTACCCAGCCCTATGTTTAAAATTTTTTAAATTTTTTACTTTTTAAATTGTTTGTTAAAATACTGAAACACAAACACACATTAGCTTAAGCCTATGCAGCGTCAAGATCATCAATCTTGCTGTCTTCCACCTCCCACCTTATCCATTGGAAGGTCTTCAGGGCAATAACATTATGAACTGTCATCTCCTATGATAACAAGATCTTCTTTTAGAATATCTCCTCAAGGACCTGCCACAGAGTTAACTTTTTAAAAGTTAAGTAGGAGTACATTCCAAAGCAATAATATAAAAATATAGTATAGTAAATACTAAATGATACAAAGAATTCTTCAGCTCAGCTATAAATCTTATGGGATCACCATCATATAAGCTGTGACTTTACATCATTAATCGGTATGTAAACATATATGGTTAAAATATGAAATCTGTTCAGGAAGAGATATTAAAGGGAATGAAACCAAATGCTAAATTAAAACAGTAGTCTGCAGTGAGGGTCAGGATAAGTCAAACTGCCACAGAGCCTGCATCCATGAGAAGCTCCATCTCTTTAAACTATGCTCAGAAGCTGAAGAATGGGGGTTGAGGTATGGTTCTATCACTGATGTTGAGTGCTCCCTGAGAAATTAAGTAAAAGAGTAAAGGTTTTAAATATAGAAAATGTAGAGTCACAATTAAATAACAACAAAAAATTAAATAAATATTACCTCTACAAGTTTATTGTACTTAGAGTAAATCAGAATTATTCATATTTAAATATAAAGAAGATGATGAAATGATTATCTGCTTATTTTCAGTAGAGAAGAGGTTTCACCATGTTGGCCAGGCTGGTCTCGAACTCCTGACTTCAGGCAGTCCACATGCCTCAGTCTCCCAAAGTCTGGGATTACAGTTGTGATTTGCCATGCCTGGCGTTGCTTTGATCTTAACCCTTGTTTCAAAGAATGCAATAGGCCACTGCGTGGCTCACCTGTAATTCTAGCACTTTGGGAAGGCTCAGGCGGGTGGCTCACTTGGGGTTGGATGAAACCAGCCTGACATGGTGAAACTCCGTCTTTACTAAAATACAAATTAGCAAGATGTGGTGGTGCACGCCTGTAATCCCAGCTACTCGGAAGGCTGAGGCAGGAGAATTGCTTCTTAACCACGTAAGGCGGAGGCTGTGGTGAGCCAAGATCGCTCCATTGCACTTTCCAGCACCAAGGCAACAAGTCGAAACTCCATCTCAAAAAAAGAAAAAAATTACCTCAAATTTCATAGGCAATTTTCTTTTATATATGTAAAATATCTTAAATTCTTTTTCTTTTTTTTTTGGAGATGGAATCTTGCTCTGTTGTCCTCCCAGAGGCTGGAGTCAGTGGCACGATCTCGCTCCTGCCAGGCCTCTGCCTCCTGGGTTCAGAGTTCTCCTGCCTCAGCCTCCCGAGTACCAGGATTCATAGGTGTGCATCATGCCCAGCTAATTTTTGTATTTTTAGTAGAGACAGAGGTTTTAGCCATGTTGGTCAGGCTAGTCTTGAACTCCTGACCTCAGGTGATTCACCTGCCTCGGCCTCCCTGTCTGGATTACAGGCACCAAGCCACCGCGCCTGGCCCACATAATAAATTCTTTAAATTTTCAAAGGTTCTTTTTTTTTTTTTTTAAGACAAGTCTCACTCTGTCACCCAGGCCTAGGTCTTAGTGGCATAATCTTGGCTCACTGCAACCTCTGCCTCCTGGGTTCAAGCAATTCTCTGCCTCAGCCTCCCGAGTAGCTGGGATTACAGGCTCCGCCACCATGGCGATAATTGCTGTTTTTATATTTTAGTAGAGACAGGGTTTCACCATCTTGGCCAGGCTAGTCTTGAACTCCTGACCTCATGATCCACCCGCCTCGGCCTCCCAAAGTGCTGGGATTACAGGCATGAACCACTGTGCCTGGCCACAAACGTTTTTAACCGAAATATTTCAAAATCTATATCTAGCAGTCACAATTTTAGAAAGATTATGATTTAACATTTTCATTCTTGTGACTTTAATTGTGGTAAATTTCTACCAAAGGAAAACAATGTTACAATTTAGATAAATATTTTTTCTTTAATTCCAAAGACACTGTTACATTGAACTGGGTGTTCAGATTTAATTTCACTCTCAGATCTAGATGTCTTACTTGTTCCAGTCTGGAATGATTTCTGTAACAAAAACCCCCCATCCCCAGAAAGATATTTTAAAAATACACCTAGAACTTTTTTTAAATACTTAGTTCTGATACACATGTGCAGAATGTGCAGATTTGATATATAGGTATACGTGTGCCATGTGTTTTTGCCACCCATCAACCTGTCATCTAGGTAGTAAGCCCCGCATGCATTAGGTGTTGTACTAGTACTCTCCTTCCCCCTTGTCCCCACCCCTGACAGTCCCAGTGTGTGATATTCCCACTCCCTGTGTCACGTGTTCTCATGCTGTCCCGCATATAAGTGAGAACGCTCGGTGTTTGGTTTTTCTGTTCCTAAAAATCATTCATGGTTGTATGTCATTCTTACTTGCCAGGGAGCCATGCTAATCTTCTCTGTATCATTCCAATTTTAGTATATTTGCTGCTGAAGTGAGCAAAAATACCGAGAACACAAAAAATGTCAAGTTGTTAAAAGATCAATTTGGTTTGAATAAAGTGCTCTAGTCAATTTGACAATCTCCATTTCTGTTAGATCTGCTCTACAAATGGTATTTTAAGAAACGTAAAGGCATTATTTTTAGGAGCTTCCCTATACTAAAATTTCTTTACTCAGACCTAGCCAAAAAATAATAATAATAATAATAAAATGAAATAAAAGATAAAGCAAATAATAAACAAACCCTTCCTCATTTCTGTACTGGACTATGATTAGGCTTACTAATCCTCAAGTAAAAGCCACAAAAAAGCAATCCATCTTACCTCATCTGAGAGATTGTCAACTCTATACAAACTGCAGGATGAGTTGAGCATAAGGTAAACCAAGGGCTAGTTTTCACTTGACACATAGCAAATGCGTTCATCTGAGCGATGCATTTGTTCCAGTCTGGAATGATTTCTGTAATAAGAAAACCCCCATTCCCCCACAAAGAAGATATTTAAAAATACATGGAATTTACACAAATGCCCAGTTAAAAGAATGTTTTCAGAGAAAATTCTAGATTGCATCAATTTTTTAAAGTATCTTTTTAAGAAGTCACACACGCCAGGTGCGTGGCTCAAGCCTGTAATCTCAGCACTTTGGGAGGCCGAGGCGGGCAGATCACGAGGTCAGGAGATCGAGACCATCCTGGCTAACATGGTGAAATCCCGTCTCTACTAAAAAGAATACAGCTAGCCGGGCGAGGTGGCGGGCGCCTGTAGTCCCAGCTACTCGGGAGGCTGAGGCAGGAGAATGGCCTAAACTCAGGAGGCGGAGCTACTTGGAGCCCCAGAATCCAGCCACGCTGCCTCCAGCCTGGGCAACAGGCGAGACTCCGTCTCAAAAAAATAAAAAAAAAAAGTCACACATCTATTAAACTGTAGCTATAGCCCCACCTAAAAGTCTTTTGAAATTAACTAACTGACCATGGCAAAGTTATCTGATCTCCACGGTGTCTGTTTCCTAGTTAGTAAAATGAGTCAAACACTCTATCTATCATATAATGATCATGATAATGATGTAACAATCCAAGCAACACCATAGGAAGGATGAAGTTATATTGCAGATGACAAGTAAAGGAAGCACACGCGGAAAGGACCAAAGATATCCATTACGTCAGTGAGTCCTTTTCATACCAGGGACTGGTTTCATGGAGGACAATTTTTCCACAGACTGGTGGGGACATGGTGGGAGGATATGATTTTGGGGATGAAACTGTTCCACACTCCTTATCATCAGACATTGATTCCTCATAAGGAGCGTGCAGCCTCGATCTCTCGCATGCGCGATTCACAACTATAGTTGGTGCTCCTATGAGGAATCTAATGCTGCCACTATCTGACAGGAGGCAGAGCTCAGGCAGTAATGCTCCCTCACCTACTGGTCACCTCCTGCTGTGTGGCTCACTTCCTAACAGGCCACCCACAGTGCAGTCTGTGGTCAGGGTAGTGCACTTGGGAACCCTGCTAAATGAGTGCCAGTGCACAGGTGAATGATTAATGGCAGCTGTCATTGATTCTCCCCACCATACAAACGATATGTAGAATACTAATAAACAAAAACATAATGCTACAAATGAAGCTTCTTAGTAAAATGAGTTAATAAGTAACTATGTTTAACTGTTATTATTTTCTTTACTAGATAAAATGGAGAAGAAAAAGGATATGGGTAAGGTTTTTTTGTTTTTTGTTTAGACAGAGTCTCCCTCTATCGCCCAGGCTGGAGTGTGAGTGCTGTTCGATCTCTGCACTGCAGCCTCTGCCTCCCGGGTTCAAGCGATTCTCCTGCCTCAGCCTCCTGAGTAGGTGGGATTACAGGTGCGTGCAGCCACGCCGGTTTATCTTTTTCTTTTTCTTTTTTTTTTTTGTATTTTTAGTAGAGACCAGAGTTTCAGACATATTGTTCAGGCTGGTCGCCGAACTCCTGACCTCATGATCCACCCTTGGCCTCTAAAGTGCTGGGATTACAGGCGTGAGCCACCACGCCCAGCCAGTTGTGGGTAAGGTTTTAAGTATTCCAATTGATGAAAAGGAGTAAAATAGGCTGGAGAAAAGGATAATAGTAAGGTATGTATTAAAACAAGTACACTGAGCGAGTGCCATGGCTCCCGCCTTTAATCCCAGCACTTTGGAGGCCGAGGCAGGTGGATCACAAGGTCAAAGTTCGAGATTCAGCCTGACCAACATGGTGAAATCCCATCTCTACTAAAAATACAAAAATTAGCCGGGCATGGTGGTGTGTGCCTGTAATCCCAGCTACTCAGGAGGCTGGAGCAGGAGAATCACTTGAACCTGAGGTGAGATTGCAGTAAGCAGAAATTATGTCACTGCACTCCAGCCTGGTGAACAGAGGAGACTGTCTCAAAAAAAAAAAAAAAAAAAAAAACACTGACTACATTAAAAAAAAAAAAAAAAAAAAAAAAAAAAAAAAAAAAAAAAAAAAACACTGACTACATTAAAGGAAGATTATAAAAGCTCTTAAGATTTTAATGGAAGAAACAAAGTTCCATCTATTCATTTAAAAAATATTTCCTGGGCCGGGCGCGGTGGCTCAAGCCTGTAATCCCAGCACTTTGGGAGGCCAAGACGGGCAGATCACGAGGTCAGGAGATCGAGACCATCCTGGCTAACACAGTGAAACCCCGTCTCTACTAAAAAATACAAAACACCAGCCGGGCGAGGTGGCGGCGCCTGTAGTCCCAGCTACTCGGGAGGCTGAGACAGGAGAATGGCGGGAACCCGGGAGGCGGAGCTTGCAGTGAGCTGAGATCCGGCCACTGCCACCCAACCCTGGCAGGGAGGCAAAGTCCCCCTCTAAAAAAAAAAAAAAAAAATATTTCCTGAGTGTCTATTATATACTAGGAACGGTTCTAACTGCTAGGACAAAAAAATGAATGAAAAAGATAAAAATCCTTGTCCTCATAAAGTTTACATCCTATTAAGGGAAGAATAAAAAATAAGCAAAATATGTGGTATGTCGGTGATAAATGCTATAGGAAAAATACAGGAGGTAAGAGTGATTAAAGGTGTCAGGATGGTGTGGGATGGGGTGGGATTAGGGTGTTGCATATTAAATGGGGAAGATCAAAGAACGTAGGCTTTAGAATAAAGCATTTCAAGAAAGGCCTGAAGGAGAAAGAAGAGCTCAGATTTTTTTTTTTTTTTTTTTTTTTTTTTTGAGATGGAGTCTTGCTCTGTCACCCAGGCTGGAGTGCAGTGGCACAATCTCGGCTCACTGCAACCTCCGCCTCCTGGGTTCACGCCATTCTCCTGCCTCAGCCTCCTGAGTAACTGGGACTACAGGCGTTCGCCACTATGCCCTGCTAATTTTTTGTATTCTTTAGTAGAGACGGGGTTTCACTGTGTTAGCCAGGATGGTCTCGATCTCCTGACCTCGTGATCCACCCGCCTCGGCCTCCCAAAGTGCTGGGATTATAGGCGTGAGCCACCGCGCCCAGCCGAGCTCAGATTTTTAAATGTTAAAATTTAAATATTTGTCAGGCACGGTGACTCATGGCTGTAATCCCAACAATTTGGGAGGCCAAGGTGGGTGGATCATGAGGTCAGGAGTTTGAAACCAGCCTTACGAACGTGGTGAAACCCCGTCTTTACTAAAACTACAAAATTAGCAAGACGTGGTGGTGCACGCCTATAATACCAGCTACTTGGGAGGCTGAGGCAGGAGAATTACTTGAACCCGGGAGGCGAAGGTTGCAGTGAACCGAGATTGTGCCATTGCACTCCAGCCTGGGCAACAAGAGCCAGACTCTGTCTCAAAAAAAAAAAAAATTAAATATTTATGTAATCTGTGTACTTATATTCAGAAATGGAAAGACATATTTGAATTAGAGAAGTGAGAACTAGAGGTTGGGCACGGTGGCTCATGCCTGTAATCCCAGTACTTTGGGAGGCCATGGAAGGCAGAGATCACAAGGTCAGGAGTTCGAGACCAGAATGGCCAACATAGTGAAACCCTGTCTCTACTAAAAATACAAAAAATTAGCTGGGCATGGTGGCGGGTGCCTGTAATCCCAGCTACTCTGGAGGCCGACGCAGGAGAATCACTTGAATCCAGGAGGCGGAGGTTGCAATGAGCCAAGATCACGACACTGCACTCTAGCCCAGACAGCAGTGTGAAACTCCATCTCAAAAAAAAAAAAAAAAAAAGAACTGTAGATTCAAAAGCCACTCCTACTGGAAAGTAATGAGTTGCTCTTCTCACCTGGAAAAAACGATACACAACAGACAAGTAGATCCCAGAGTTTAGGAAAAATACAGACAAGATGCAGGCCAGGTGTGGCAGCTCACGCCTGTAATCCCAGCAATTTGGGAGGCCGAGGCCAGTGGATCATTGAGGTCAGGAGTTCAAAACCAGCCTGGCCAACATGGGGAAACCCCGTCTCTACTAAAAATACAAAAATTAGCCAGGCGTGGTGGTGCACACCTGTAATCCCAGCTACTCAGGAGGCTGAGGTCGCAGTGAGCCGAGATTGCCACTGCCACTCCAGCCTGGCGACATAGCAAGACTTAAAAAAAAAAAAAAAAAAAAAAAAAAAGATGCAGAGCAGTCCTTTATTTTTCTTATTAAAAAAATTTTTTTGTAGGGGTGGAATTTCACTATGTTGTCCAGGCTGGTCTCAAACTCCTAGACTCAAGCAATCGATCCTCCCGCCTTGGCCTCCCAAGGTGCTAGGATTACAGGCATGAGCCACTGTGCCCAGCCAGCAGTCCTTTAACAGTTCTGGAATCTGGAATGCTTATTCAGGTGCATTTTTAACATGAGTTGTTTCTTAATTTAAAAAATTAAACAAAATTTTTAATAGAGACATTCTTGCTTTCTTGCCCAGGCTGGTCTCAAACCTCTAGCTTTAAGCAATCCTTCTACCTTGGCCTCTCAAAATATATTGGGTTATAGGTATGAACCACAGCACCTGGCCAACATGAGCTTTTATTTATTTAA